GGCTTTGAAATTGAATCTGGTAAAACTAGACTGCCATTTGATGTGGACCGAGTAACTGTACTGTCAGGTTTCCCCTGCTTTTGGGTTAATATCTGAGATTCAATCTCTGAAGTTACACCAAACTCTTTGCTTGCTTCTGAGTGACCTGACATATTTGTGATAGGCTCCTTGAATGCAGCATTTGAATCACCTTGACAATGGTTTTCTCTACAAATTACATTTTCATCATCAGGATCGGGGCTGTGACTGGACAAACTTCCAGGCTCTGAAAATGTCTCTGCAGCTTCAACAACAGAACAGGCATCCTCAAGACAAGGCACCTCCTTTGGTCTAACATTGTTTGATGGAAATGAATAAGAATCCTCTGAGAAGCCATTAAGTTTAGGAGGATTTGCATAGCCAATATTATGTGGCATTAATTTTTGTATTCTGCTTGAACCATTAGAAGAGAACACTGAACCCAAGGTGCGTGGATGGAATTGAAAAAAGCCAGCAGTTGAATCATCAATTGCGGCATCATGATCAGCCACATCTGACAGCTCATCCGGGTCATCAGAATTATCACCAGGTAGTGAATTTTTGTAAGGTAATATAAAGGTAAATGTAGAACCACAATGTACTCGACTAGACACGGTGAGACGACCACCCATCAGCTCAACCTATTACAAATGCAAGCAATTATTAGGATGATTATCTAAAAATTTTTATCTGAGTCAAATCACATCAACGCAAAAGTAACAAATTAAACTCTGCCCAAGCGTGGGATTGATATCAAACACTGATTTTATGAATTTATTTCCCTGTAACTTAACCTTAATATAAACGGTCTCTAAGTTTGAAAACTATCACAACATAAAATGATTGCTCAGGAGCAACTATAACAACGAAAACGAAAATAAGAAAATCCATATAAAATGAAACATAAATTTTATGTCAAGGAAGACCTCACCAGATGTTTGCATATTGCGAGGCCCAGTCCTGTCCCCCCATATTTTCGGGCATGATCGGCACTGACTTGCATGTATCTTTTAAATAGCGTAGGTAAAGCATTTTCTGTTACGGGAATCCTAATCAACTTCACGAAAGTTTCAAGTTTGAGATGGATTGAGGCATTGAGGCAAATAACTTTTAGAGAAAATAGAGGCATACCTGGAATCCCAATCCCGGTGTCATAAACATCACAGCCAATCCACACGGTTGTTTCAGGTAGCTCTGTTTGCTCCTCATCACCATCTAGAGTTCCAATCTTAACCGGGGACCTAGGTTCATCAAGTTGATGACGATGACAAGAGCCACCTCGTTTTTTATCGTGAACACCATTCTGATCACTATTTGTTTGAGATTTTGATGCACACTTCTCTTCTGTGGGCACATCAGTAGTTGATTGATCTGCAGCGGAGCTATGCTGAGATGCTTCCTTCGCAAAAGGTGGCTCTGGAACTACATAAAGTTTTATCCCTACCTTCCCTTCATGGGTAAACTTAATTGCGTTGCTGAAGAATGTAAAAAAATTATTTTTAAGTACATTTTTTGCAGTATTAGCCATAGAATAAATACTGTAATCAATTTTGGAAGACCGTATTAGCACAATTAATGTAAGGCTCATTCATATTTACTTCTGTGCATACGTATTTAATTGATAATATATATATATATATGCGGTTAGCTTTGTTCGCATTACCTCCAAAAAATTAGGAGAAAAAAGTACAAAAATTACCTTAATGCATGTTTTAAAAATATGATAGTTTAGTTTTTTTCAATAAAAATTTATTGAAACAAAATAATTTTGAGATAATTTTCCTCTTAATTAGGTAAGACTGATAGACACTTTTCCCTATATATATTATGTATATACTTGTACAAGGGTAGGTTAGACATTTCACTATGTATACCCATGTACATATATATACGCGCACGACACATAATAAAATATAATAAACATTATTCTGCTTAATTCGTTACCTGATCAAGTTGGTGAGAATTTGCCGAATCCTTAGAACATCTCCAACAACCTGAAATTGTTATGAAATGATGATATCATTTCCAAAAATTATAATAGAAGAAGGCAGAACTCATGGATGGCGCATTGTGAAGTCCCAACTTTTTCTGTAAAGGTGATCCAAAGAATAAAATTATATAGTTTAGAAGACCCTTACCTCAATAGGAACATCATCTGCTACATGTCCTTCCAAGGTCAGAAGTTTCTGCAATGATGCCGCAGCTGTCTGGAGAACATGCTTTACAACTTCTCTTGGTCGGAATTTGGCAGCTTCCAACTTCATCACACCTGAACAAATAGATAATTGTAGCAAAATCAAAATTATAAGAACATACCAGATTAGGGAAAAAAGGAGGACATTGATAGCCTGAAATCTGAGACAGAAAACACCAATCTGAATGAGATGTAACAGTTTCAGACGAGTATTACCAACTACATGATCCAACGGATATGGTGACATTGGCTCATGTAGAGAAGAATTAATGCATAAAAGATGTTATGGACGGTATAGTTGGAACAAATTCCAAACCTGACTCAACCTTGGAAAGATCAAGGATGTCATTTATAAGTTGAAGGACTAAATCTCCTGAAGATACCATGACATCCAACAGTTGTCTTTGCTCGTAATTGAGTTTTGTGGTGGCCAGGATCTCAGCCATGCTAACAACCCCAGATAGAGGTGATCTTATCTCATGAGACATAGTTGCTAGCATTTGTTTTGCTCGCATTGTCTCCTCTATAATAGAATAGAAAAACGGTTAAATTCAGTTTTCTGAAAGCTGGCCAAACTTAAATTGAGCCACTGAGATTTTCAACAAGTGACAAGAACCTGTTATGTGGATTGTTTTGTTCAATTCAGTTTCCTTTGCTTTTTGCACAGCTATCTCCTCTCGAAGCTTTGCCATCTTTTCTCTTTTTCTTACCTGTTGTGCGGATCAAGAGCATAAACCACCATCCTTCATATTGCCAACAAAAGTCCTTAGACAACTAGTAAGAACAAAATGAATTTACCTGATCTGTTACATCCATGCCCATATAATTTATACCAATAGTCTCCCCTGCCCTGCTAAAAACAGGTTCAACATATATCAAAAATGTCTTTAAGCCAAACAGCTCTGTCTCGAATGTGATTTCCCTCTTAGCAGGTAACCCCTTTTCTAGAACTTCCCTCTTAAAATCCTGGGACTCCTTAACACCCGCTCCAGTAAAAATTTCCACATCTGTTTTTCCTAGTATGTCCTGAAATAAAATCCAACATTAAGTTTTTGAGATTCTGATGCCACTTCTGGCAAAAAGAAAATCTTTGAAGAGAAGAAAAGAGTTTAAGAAAAAGACAAATAACTTGACTGAGAAAACCAAATCTTTTCTAGAGATTATTGAGGCTCTAATAAGAACTTCAGCGCAACATATTACCTCCTCTTGCAAGCTTGGAAAATGATTATAAATAAAGCGATAGCGTAGCTCTTTATCCTGAAAGAAAAGTTAACCAAAGAAGCAGATTTATTAGCAGGAAAAGACTGTCA